ACATAATAATGTCGTCGGGAGCGAATTCGGTGAATTATGTCACCACTTACGTAACTTTTTTGACAGTGTTGCTAAATTGTTATTTGTGGTTTATTATAGCTTGTACCTGCAAACATACACGATGGATGATACAGAACCATAGAAAAAGACGTAGAGTACTGGAGCAGAGAACTTCAGTACCAAATAGTAGTAGACAAGTTACACCGGGATCCAAATCTAAGAATGGTTGAGTTGTGAAGACTAGTGGTTCCGAAGATGAAGATTTAGGAGAAAACTATGTTCCATATCAAATTGACCACAACTCGGACACTGAGGGATCATCTGAAAATGATAAGCACGAACCACCGCTAGAACAGGAAAATCCCGTTTCAAGCAGTGACATTGATGACGATCAGTATGGTAGATATAAGTACGGTAAACGCGCATGTTCTGTATCAAGCTGACGGAGGCAGAACCATTGATAGCGGGGTCTTTCAACAACATTTTGGACAGAGCCATTTTTAAAGCACATGCGGCGCAGAATTTATAACTCACAAATGCTACTTGATATAAAGTAGAACATCAGACGAATTTTGGGCTCGGATTTGCCATCTGAGCCGCAAAACACGCAAATGACGCAGAAGACGCGAAGGAAATGTGCCAACTGTCCACCTAAGTGGCACCGGAAATCTTTTTACCAATGTGTTTCGTGTAAAAAGCATGTGTGCCTTGCAGTGCGCGAAACAATTGTGTCCTGAGTGCCAATAAAAATTAGTGAAGTTTACTTATTGTCAGTTTTGTGATTACACATGTGATCAGAGATTTGTTATTTTATAAGATAATTTAAGTCTACGAGTATACTAAGATTTAAAAATGTAATTATCAATAAGAATGTTGAGTTTTGTTTTTTATGACTGAATGTTGATCTCATCTCGCTGTTTTTCTAATAATACGAGAGCTAATTTTGTTATTTTCAGTTCATAGATAAAAGGTTAAAAATGCTAAACCATCCCTACAACCGTCGCTATGTGTATGGTCCTCCTTATTACTTCTTTTTAGGTTTCCGTATCCGAAGAGTAACCAATGGGACCCTATTAATAAGTATCCGCTTTCCGTCCGTCCGTCTGTCTGTCTGTCTGTCTGTCAGCAGGCTGTATCTCAAGATCCGTAATAGGTAGACAATTTAAATTTTCACAGAATGTGTATTTCTGTTGCCGCTATAACTAACAACAATTAATAAAAATTAATTAAAAATTAATTATATGGAAGCTCCCCTACCAGAAACATGTCTTTTTTTTGCATACATAGTATTAAACCTTGTACGATGGTACGGAGCCCTTCATGCGCGAGTCCGACTCGCACTAGGCCGGTTTTTTAAAATCATTCATTTGTTTCTCTGAGTTTTGCTTTTCTGCGATATCGCTATATTTATATCTATGGACTCTAATGGCCGGTATTCCAAGACAATCTCGAGTTTAAATACGAGGCTGTCTATGATTTTTTTTAAATAATATGAGTTCAAACGTGGATACAATGCGTCTGAACTGAGCGTTATGGGTCAATCGACTTTATTTGGGAAATTTTGACCTCACCAATGAAGCTAATGGTCATCCGGGGCAGACGGTTGATAATAACAGATTATAAGCGATAGTTGAAGCGGATCCGTTTCAAACAAGAACTGAGCTAGCGTGTGCTTTTGATAGAGTCCAAACAATATTAGATCACTTGCGGCAAACCATTAAAATAAAGAAGCTCGACAAATGGCTACCTCACATACTGAGTGTAGCACTTCAAAGTCTTCAAAGAGTGTTTAACTTCTCGTGGAGCAGACTTCTATAGGAAGGGCATCAACAAAGTGCTCATAAAATGGCAACAATATTTTAATAGTTTAAACTCAACTCCGTGGCGCATTGGCTTAGCATTGAGTTGCGGAACTGAAAGCCGCGGGTTGGAATCCCACATGGAACAAATTTTTCTATGGCATACAAATTTTGAAAACAAAGTTTTTCCAGGTCTGAATGTTCGTCCTTGTGAAAATTATGCATGTTAACTGACTCCACAGTACAGGAGATAATCTTCGTGTAGGGGTAACGTCATTTATAAAATAAAATAAAAATCAATATTTCTATCCAAAACGACAAATTCACAGCAGAATACTAGTATTATCTTTAAACACCCTTCAACTGATGTGTGGATGCAGTGATGCTTAGCGTCAGATATTTCTAACTATAATATAATTTTTATTATAATATACCTATTGGTAAAAGAAAGTGGCCTAACTTAGTGGGTCACTCTCTCACCTATTTCTGACTCCTAGTAAAATTTTATTTCATCGCTATCATCATCATCATCATTACAGCCCTTCACAAGTCCACTGCTGAACATAGACCTCCCTCAAGGAATGCCACATAGCACGGTCCTGAGCCACCTGCATCCATCGACTTTCTGCATGTTTTACGAAGTCGTCACTTCATCTAGTGGGGGGATGCTCTACATTTCGCCCACCGGTACTAGGCTGCCACTCGAGAACCTTTTGCCCCATCGGTTTTCGGTTCTTCGGGCTATATGGCCGGCCCATTGCCACTTCAGCTTACTAATCCGTTGGGCTATGTCAGTCACTCTGGTTCTACTGTGGATATCCTCATTTTTAAGTTTATCACAGAGCGAAACCCCAAGCACAGCCCTCTCCATAGTTCGCGAGCGACCTTTAGCTTCCTCAGATCCATAAGTCATCACTGGCAACACAAAATTGTATATATATATAAACATCGCCGTGATATTGATAAAAGGAAGTTTCAAAATAAGTATAAATCAAGTTATCTCACGGGAAATAAACCGTACGCTGCGAGCAAGACTAGGCGGATGACGTAACAAATACGCCGTTGCTTCGGAGTGCACATTTCACATTCCAAGTTCATGGCGACTGATGCATTAAAACTGTTTCTTCAAAGCTTCAAGCGTTGCTTCTACGAAAACATAGTTTGAATTAAAAGCTATGTGTTTATATTGAAAACAAAAGAGTTCAAACTCGTTTAAAATATTATGTTCAGTTGTTAGTAATAATTCGATTACACTTTTAAGTACGCTTATAATCGAATATATTCGATGATTATACACCTACTTCGAGTATACTAGAACAAGTACTGATTCTATCAAGTACATAACTCCTGAAAGCGATGTATATGGGTCAAAGAGATGCAAACGCATAGGTATCATTACACGGACACAGACGGTGTGACGTGAATATTGCATTTTTTTATTTTTACATTTTTACTTTTCTGTTATTCGAATTTAACTAACGCGACTCAGCGTCATCAATGCGATGAACACTTCATCTACAAAAGATTTTCTAAATTTATTTATTAAAAACTTCATAACAAAAAATTATATTGTAAAATGTATGTATTAGTTTACTTGAGTACTATGCGGACACACTAAGTGTATACTGTACTATCTAATATATCGGACTCAAAAACAATGTATTAAATATTGAACGATATTATCAGGAGTGCATAGCGTAACTATTATCATTATTGCGTATCGTCTATCTGAAGATAGCGATATTGTATCGAGCAATGTAAAACATTCTGAGGTAAATATGCGAGTGAAGGAGTATGAACATACAACTACCAATAGTATTTTCCATGCTTTATCTTCTTAAAAACAAATATACTTGAAAGGAGTGTGATATTTTTTTTTATAACATCAGATGACAAACAAACTTGAAGTTCACTTGATAGTTGACACTGCTGCCGCTCTGGAAATAGCTAACGCCAAATAAGAACATAAACCCTTTGGTAGCGTTAATGCATTGCACTTCTATGTCAACAAAAGCTACACGCTAGATAGTGAAGGAGGAACTAAATCAAAATCTGTGTCTTACTATTTTGGACGTATATGAGTTCTAATGAAATTGCCGTTTTGTTACATCAAATCAAATCAAATTAACATGAAAATTAAAACTTAAAAAAATTACGAAAAAATCTTAGTTAATAAAAATATTAGTCTAAACTATTACACACATATGTGTCTGTGTGCGTTTATATTTAGTACTACTTGACCCGGCGAACTTCGTACCGCCTAACAGTCGATTCTTTAATTTTTATTTTTTTTAATACTTATTCTGCTATTCGGGACACCGGGTCAGTTAGTAAGATAAAAAAAGAAAAAAGAAATTTGATAAGTCAACAATTACATTAAGTCAAAAAATAAAAATTATAAAACACTATTGACAAATATTGACATTAATATTTATACGATACTAACGTCCTGCTGACGTGTTCCTGGAACCCCTCCACTAACACTTAAACTTTATGGTATGGTATTAAAGTTCAAATTGACTTTTAAGTATTATTACGAATCTTTTATATGGGAATATAGAAAAGTGTTATAGAAAAATATAGAAACACATTCAGCGATTCATTTTTATATTATAGATAGCGATATCGCAAAAAAAACCCCCAAAAAATTAATGTATAACTGATTTATATACATAAATCAGTTATACATTTACATTATACATACATTTATACATGTATATACTAAGAGATTAAAGTCAATTAAGGTAAAAATCCACAGTCATAACAAGTGAGATAATATTATTCATAACTGAACCGCGTGGTTGAGAAACCAAGTTGAATATTTATGAGGGTTTTATTGATAATACACATAACAGCTTTGGTATTTATATATATACTCTGTAACCGTAAATGTATGCGTGACTTCTGTAGTGCAGATACAAGCCAGGGGTTCGATCCGAATATTTGTGTAATACCCAAATTATTGTTAATATATGTCAAAATCAGTCAGTATGATTCCCTGATACTGAATCCACGGTCGGACCCGATCTCACCGTATACGCGTTACATCGATGAAGTTAGCAAGAGTAATTGCCTTTATTTTGTGTGCTGTTGACCAATTTAACATAATATTTGGAATGTATGTCGAGAACGTATTGTTCGATCACTTTGACCTGTATAATAAACAAAAGAAAGGAAAATGAAGTTCACAAATTCCCTTACCGTAGTTACCGGTCGGGCCCATCGCTTCTGGAACATGGTCGTCAATGATTGACGGTTCATGCCCGATGACACAGTTGACGCCAACATTTTTAAACACTGAACCGACACTGTTCACAAACTACACCGTCACAATGGACCGACACTATAAAATTCCACTAATAAGTTGTTTCTACTGGTAATATCACTACGGGGCAGTTTTATATATAATCAACACTATAAAAACTTCGACACGAACACCAATATATGTAAAACACGTTGCTTTATAAAATTGCTACATAATTTAATATTTACCATCATGTATAAATGACTAACTTTTGTCTTACTGCAAGTATATTATTAAAATATTCTAAAACCGCGCTAGAACTTCTAAGCACATGCTAATGAGGGGAACAATCTACTTTTACTAACGCGTCAAGTTTGACGAGATGCTGCAGTCCGCGACAGCCAAGGCCCCTATCACTTCTCTATGTTTGGTCAAAACAGACTGACTTTCTCTGTAAGTTTTTGCGTCAATTCACATTGGGTGAAGTCTGTTTGTTTGTACATATTATACATGGTTTTAAACAATCGGAATTGTTTTCTGATAAAAAACACAACAATAAAGATTTATTCGTTTTATGGAACAAATGGTAACTACTGAATTATGTACCCATACAATGTGTAATTCACTTGATTTAAATTTTTGACTTTTTGCTGACTGACAGCTGACAAACCAACATTTTTTCTTAAAAGGAATTAGGCTGGTGTCGTTTTTACATGATTACAGGGCAAATAGCTCTTGGTCGATCAAACATTTGTGCAAACTCACAAATTATTGACCAAAGATGAGCAAATTTGAGTATAAACTTGCATCACTAATATGTCCTAAGTTTGCCAACAGTATTCATCTTCAGTGTTTCTTTCTTTTTTTTTTAAACCCCTACACAAGGATATAAATATATTTCACAAGGACAAACATCCAGGCATGGAACAATTATTTGTATACCATACAATTGTTTATATATGTTTCGTACGGTATTCAAACTCATTGCTAAGCTACTGCGCCACGGAATTCCTTATTTGATGCAGAGAGAGAGCCAAAAAAACCTATAAAATAATCAACTTTAACAACAACTACTGCATGAAATCGTGATGCATTTCATCTTGTGGTTAGCGAGCGTATACTTACGTACATAATATTGTTCGTAGTTGTGAGCGTTCGCATAATCATCGTATTGCTTGCTACAGTAAGCTTACGACAGTACGCAAGCGACAGTAGTGTTACAAAGCCTAGCTTACGGCAAGTAGGCGAAAATTTGTCGAGAAGTAGCCATTAATCGCTCAATATCTTTTAAGAAAGAAACAAACAAACTTTTTTCCCGCAACAAAATAATACACAGGTTTAAAATATACGGGGATTTATTATTAAATCAGCGCCACCAATCACATACAGATGCAGCAACCACTCAGCATTATGCAGCAGCAGTGTTGCTGCAGCTATCGGCACAACTAACTAGACTCACGAGCAGGCATCTGGCGCAGATGTACATTTAATATTTTTAACATTAACTAAAGCAAAATAATACATTTGAAATTATCTTTATATAACGATAACTACTATTAAAGTATGCGTCCTATATTAGGGTTATTTTCTTCAACAGAAGTAAAAATAATTGTGAGCTAAGAAGATAAAAATATACAATAGAATAAAAATACTTAAACCTATACAAAAAACCAGTCAGTAAAATTCATTATTTTTATTTAGTACTAGCTATTCCCCGCGACTTAACCCGCGTGTAAATTAAGGTTTTAATTTTGTTGCGCGGAACCCTAATTCTTTTTGTAAATTATAAGTAGCCTAAGTTACTCCTTATAACATCATCTATCTGCCAGTAAAAGTACCCTAGAAATCGGTCCAGCCGTTTCGGAGATTAGCCGGAATAAACAGACAGACAGACTAAAATTATAAAAATTGCGTTTTTGTTATAAGTACTGTATATACGGTCAAATGCATTTACTAAACAGCTGTTATTTTGACATTACAAACAGACACTTCAATTTTATTTATTTGTATAGAATTACAAAATACCTAGCAATGATAAAGGCATTTTAAATGACCTTCATGCTGAGATTTCAGATAGCTTAATGGCGCCCCCTTTGAAAACGCCTAAATGGCGAAAAATCGCCTGACTTGGCACTGGCAACACTGAGCGTCAGTACCCTAATGGTTAAGGGTTCGGATTGCGAAACAAAAAAGTCCACGGTTTATATCCGCCTTTTCACTACTATCGTGAAACACTAACAGCATAATATGCGTTTTAAGCTTAGTTCGTGTATTTAAAAAGCATATTAGTAATGTTAATATATTTGCATTAAGAAAATATTTTAAAAACAGCTACAGCAAGCTACATATAATGTTTATATCTACTAACTTATTACCAGTTAGTTCGAGAGCTTTACCGTTACCCTTAATTGTAACAGCCTATTAAAATCCACTGTTAAAATCCACTCCCCATAGTCTACATCATAGGGGGGATATTTGTCATAGTTTCTACTCTTGGCAAGCAGGTTGGCAACCGTAGATTTTTATTTTAAGTCGTTAGTAAGAAGACGCTGCTGTCCATCTCCTGATTTGTTTCTCTCTGTCGCTTCTTACGACACGGAATCTTACGGTTGATATGAGATTAGTGGATAATCTTACACCGCCACTACACGGTAAATCGAAAGCGTTACGAATTACTATTTGCGATATAATTTTTTTTAAAAACGGTGAAGTGTTATTTACCGAGCGTCGCTATCTTTAATATTTACAGCGCCAATATTCGCGCTGACATCACTGCTGTGCTCAAATTAAAAATAGTGAGGTAAATCATTCTCAGGCGGAGCTTGCTGATGTTTACATTTGGTTTAAAATATAATTGGATAAAACGTAAGATCTATAGCCACGTAACAATGAACAAATTATTCAAAAGTTTACTACGATCATAAGCCGACGCTCCTGTGTTGCTCTATGACTAGGATACGAACTGGTGTAAGATTTTGACAAACATCAAGTTGGCTGTAAACACTAATGCGGCATGACATTGTATGCATCATCATTGATTGATGCGAATGACATGCAGATACGTACTCTGGCGGTTGATTGATAATTCACTTAGATTTTACTATAATTTTTTTTATTTATATTTTATATTACTACCTGGTAGAGTCACGCTGCAACTATATTATGGTTGTAACAAGAATTGGTCGGCTCGACCGGGGTACGACAAACGCTTTCATCCAGCGTAATATATATAAGCAGCTTAATGTGTTTCGTATGGTCCGGAGACCCTTTTCATTGGAAACGAGGCATTCCATTTTAATCCTCAGGTATGACAACGCATCTGCATTTTTATTGCTAATTGAGAAAAATGTAGATGACTATGGGCCATAGCATCCACTCACTCATCACACACAGGTGAACTGTGTGCTCGTTTGTCACCCTTATTCTATAAAAAAAGTTCCATCCTGCAAGCATTGACATACACGCATGATCACCTTCGGACTGGCATGTCATGCAACAGTTCAGTTCGTTCAGACGACACTAGCACTGACGCAAGCGAATCTGTGTTATTAATATCACTGTCATGATTGTCCCGCATTTTGGGACAGAAAAAGAAACACATAAATGAACAAATACATGACAAATATTTCTTTAAAGAAAATTTAGTTCTTTAGCTGCGCAACTAATGTACGAGGAAAAATAAATCTGTCTTTGACGTCCAGAGTCGTATAGTAAGTGGCCAGAGACTAAACGCCCGCTGTAAATTTCTCCGCCGGCACCAATGAAATTGTTAGTTACAATTTTAGGCGCTGACTGACCACGAGCTCCGCGATGTAGGGAAACGTCGTGGGGACACCATGTTTGATAAGTGAAAACAAATATTTCGATGACACGTGAAGTTAGCCAATACGCAATGGCGCAGTGCGGCGGACATTCTCTTCCCTAAAACCCTCTAAGAAATGAGAGAAGGCCTGTACCCAGCAGTGGGATTTAATATTGGGTTTGACTTTACTTTTGAAATTGTCACTTAAAATTTTACGAAACAATAATTCCAAAACATATTAGAAACTTCTTCGCTGTTATGAAAGCTGCCCTAAAATGCGATTAAATGATGCTTTGCGTGAGGGTCCGCCATGCAGCACGATCATTCACGTAACGCATGGCTGCATTATCGTCTAGGGTCCACTTTCAACCTTAGAGATTAAAATGATCCTAAAGTTAATACTTTATAATGATTTCTTATATTTACGCGAATACTAAACATTGAATAAAACTTTTTACCGATTTTATCGCGTTTAATTAATTTATTTTTAATTCCCGACACACTAAGTTTCCACATGAGTGGAATAGTCTAAGACAAGTGACAGACAGATAGAAAGACAGACAGAAAGACAAAACGTCAAATATATACAAACACCGAGGTGATTCCTTTAAAATGTTCCGTTTTGCAAATTTTGACAGGGAACTCTATACAGTAATTATATGATATTTTTTTTTTAAATAAAATTAAATAATATAAAATAAAAGTAATTATATGATTTTAAATAATTCTTTGTTTTGCACGTTCGAGTTATCAAACATGCCGTCAGTGCCATTCATAAACGCAAACGGCCTTGCTACTCGCGCGGCGAACATTAGTTACGTGAAATTGTTTTCTCCATAGGATGTTGAACGGGGTCAACATCTTACAGAGATAACTATTTGTTTTTATTTCTGTTAAGAAAACCAATAATGTCTAAAACACACGTTAAAAAATCAAGCTCCCTTTCATCTATATCATTTGAAGATTGTAATCAAAATGTTCATCATCATCATTACAGCCCTTCACAAATCCACTGCTTAAGATAGCCTCCACCTATCTTTTAGATGAGAAATTTGCTATAGCTGCCATGCTTGGCAGGCGGGTTGGCAACCGCAGTTTATTTTATTTTTAGTAGTTATTAGGAAGATGCTGCTGCCCATCTCGTGATTTGTTTCCCTCAGTCGCCTCTTACGACACCCACGGGATGATATGGGGTAGTGGATATGAGGTAATCTATTGCATGTTTAGCAGTGAACTTTAATA